CACACACACACACACACACACACACACACACCGGGGTCGTCGCAATATGCGTTTTCGCATTTGCATTTATGCAAAAACGCATACTGTCACGGAATTGTCTGTGTGTGTGTGTGTTTGTGTGTATGTGTCTGCAGAAACTTGTCCGCAACTTTCAACTCGGGAACTACAAAAGTTAAGAAGCTGAAAATTTAGGGGAACGTTCCCCACCCACGTGTGACCTCGCAAATTTAAATTCAGCCTCCACGTACCTGCGAGTAATATGTACGGCCTCGTATAAGTTTAGGCGGGTAAAATTATTATCACAGGAACCACGGAAGCTAGAAGGCTGAAATTTTGTGGGCATGTACCCTGCCCACACGCGATCCAGAAAATTCAGATTCAGCTTGCTCCTGCCCGCGAGTAACACGAACGCCCCGTGAAAATTTCGAGGGTAAATTATTATCTCGGGAACCACAAAATCTAGGAAACTGAAATTTTGGGGTAATGACCTCCTGCTCACGCACGACTTTGCAGATTCAAATTCACCGTTCCCACCCTCTCGGGTACCACCTACGACCTCGTGAAAATTTTAGCGGGTAAATTACTATCTCGGGAACCACGGAATCTAAGTTGAAATTTTAGGGTAATGATCCCCTGTCCACGCTCGACCTGCAAGGTGATCTCCTGTCCACCTGCATTCAAAATCAGCGTTCCCACGCTCTCAAATATCATCTTTGGCCTCGTAGAAGTTTTGGCGGGTAAATTATTATCTCAGGAACCACGCAAGCTAGGAAGCTGAAATTTTATAGTAATTTCTTCTGTCCATATACAATCCTGCAATTTTAAATTCAGCTTTCCGCGCGTTCTAGTATCACTTACGGTCCCGTGAAGATTTCGGGGGAAAAATTATTAACTCGGTGATCGAAAAAGTTGGGAACCTGAAATTTTAGGGTGATCTCCTCTACAAACGTACGACTTCATAAATTTGGATTCAGCCTTCATGCACCCCTGTGTACCAGGTACAGCCCCGTGAAAGTTTTGATAGAGAAATTATTATCTCGTATACTTGAAATTTTTAGTGGGAAATTTCGCGACTTAAGAACCAGAAAACATTTCGACTATGTTTGCACAGTCCAAAGTGCAAAGCAGTGAAAATCATTGGCGAGCAATCGTCCCGTGAACGGAATTGCACAAAACGCATGGTCGCACCGGCTGCCCTGGTGCGCGCCATTTATTTATGAACAGACCCTGGCTTTTGCAGCACTGGTGCCTTTGCCGCTGGAGCAAGAAAAGGGGATGGGGGAGGGGAAGGGGTGGGAGGCGAAAGACCCTTCGCCTTCTTCCCCTTATACAAGCTAGTGGCTGGTTTTACTGGTCTTTACTTTCTTACGTAGTCGCAGTGGTGCCCCGTACATCCGCTCGCTTATGCGACTGTTTGTATGTTCTTAAAAAGGCACACATTTGGCTCTTTCTCTGCAGATTTTTCCATACATGCGATTTTGGTGTTCCTTATAGGGCAGCTTGGAGCAGTTCAGTGCACGAGTGCACCACTGCAGGCTTTCCAGCAAGTTAAAACTCA